GATAACCAAGTGTGAACAATATTGCCTCTGTTTCCTTCGAATACACAGACACGCAGCGACATCAAACTATGAAACTTCCTTAAGTTTGGTCAAGGGTGCTGTGTTTTTTTGTTGTTGTTTTATGTGTGTGTGTTTGTGTTTTATGTTGTGTTTGTGTATATTAAGATTGAACATATCTTACATGAAATATTTTAAATTAAAAAGTTGCATCGTGTTAACTTTCACCTTTTATATAGGTATTTGATTATATGTATCATGAGAATAATTTGATTTGGTTCTATATTGTGCATTGTAATAATTCCATGGCGATGTAGGGGAAATAGAATAGCTCGTGAAGCATCAATGGTAGAAGAGAAAAGTAAAAAAAGAGATACAGCGAATATATTCAAGATTAAGTCGATATTCAAATGGGTAGAGAATGGGTCATTAATATTCACCCCCATTCTCTCAAAGCCGGCTGTCTGCACCTAACGCCTGACATTGATATGAAAAGAATTCCCCTATCCCTTTGATGTTATCTACCTGGGTAGTTCTAGACGTCTATCTTAGATATTTATCTAACACATACCATTCAGAATTCTACTTTACCCTAAGCTCTGATATGTCAGATTTCTATATTACCGTATCTCTTTGATGATGTATATCTAGGTAACACTAGACATCTCTCTATCTTAGATTTACATCCCCCACATTTTATTAGCGATTTACCTCACGACAAAGAGCTGAAAATTGGTGTTTTTTGATATTTATTTATATTTAAAAATATGAAAGAGGATATTGATAGAAAAACAAATTGCTAATATTACAACATAGACTAATAATGATTATTAAAAGATGAACACGAGAGAACTTTGGAGCTAAAAAGTTTTATCTTTGAAAGAAGAGCCATTTTTCGAACGAAGGCCTTCTCATTTTTAGCCTTTATAAACGATACGCAATGGCAATTGATGTTGTAATATTCATGCTCATTTATCTTCTTGATGCTTTCTCTACGGATAGATTCAAACTGCGTTTCTACCTCATTTTATACCTTAAATTTCCTATGTGGTTCCACCTCATGCCATAACGCCAATATAGTAGGATTATTCACTGCCATATCTATTTGGTAATGTCTATTTGTATAGACATAGGCATAATGTCTATCTCTAACATTCCTTTTTGTGAGAGTTCTTCTGATTACAATTACAATTATTTTATATCCAATTTTATATTTTATATCCCGCAAGGGATACTTAGGCCAAACAAGGAGAAAAGTTTATTTACATAAGTTATTCACATTATTCAACGCATGAAAACATTAGAGATCCAGATTTTGTAGAAAATTTAGAATGTATTTACAAAATGAATTGAACTTTAAATATGATTTTTTTTTATCGGAAATCAAATCGTTAAGTTCATAAACAACTAGTTCATTCTTCATTCTATAATCTTGAAATGCTGGGCAATCGATCAGTAGATGTCTTGAGGTTTGTTCCTCCATACCACAAAATCAACCTGAATCCTCCACTGCCTTTATTCTATTTAAAAAACTTTTGAAATTTCCGTGGTTTGTAACAAATTGAGTATTATAAAAATTTGGACGAAAGTATTCAGGGATTTCTTGGGGAAAAAGCTTAAGAAAGTATTATTTGCTTCGTTTTTCAGAACATTCATTCTTGATTTGAGAAAAGTATCTATAATTCTTGGAATAAATGGGTCATAAATTTGTTGATCATCTGTGGATAAGTTTCTCAGATCAGATATCATGATTCTGGATTCGATAAAGTCTGAGATCAGAGGAATGTTGGCCAAACAATGAACACAGCTATATGATAGGCTTGTATACACCATGTCAGTATTTGATATTGGGTTGAATTTAATTTTTGTAAACATTTTTTATTTAAATATTTGAACCAAATTTCGGCTCCAAATGTAAGTATTGGTCTGAAAATGGATTTATATAAAGTTAGCCTTTTCTGGGTGCTTAGACCCCAAGATTTCCCGCAAATTGAGAAGAGATAATTTTTAAAACGTTTTGTACGATTTACTATTTCTTCTATGTGGTATGTAAAATTTATTTTATTTCTTCTTCTATGATTTGCAATTATTATTCCTAAAATTTTGGTCTTCTGAGTTGGTATGATTATTTCATTATTAAATTTGATTGGGATTTTTTCTTTGTTATGTAAATAAAATATATTAGTTTTTTATGGATCTCTATCAAATGATATCAAAGAGTTCTATCTAATTATATATATAATAGCAATTCTTATATTTCTTCGTTTTACTCTTTGATTCAGTATCTATATGCTTCGATTGTATACCTACTAATATTTTACACTTTCTATTCAAAGTGTATGTTTTCCGCTCAATCAAGGTAATAAGGTAGAATTCTCAACTATTCGATGTTGTCTATAATTTCTTAGATGTCTATCGCTGGCCCATCTGTATTGGTCTTGCCACTGCATCACACCTCTGATCCAGGATACCTTCACCATCATCCAGCGGCCCCATGACTGCATGGTCTTTGGGCGAGGCCTATATGATGATACTCTGGTAATCCAGGCCTCTATCAAAACGTGGGTTTACAAGTACTTCCTCGATATGTAACTGAGAAGGGTTCAAGAATACCCTCTTTTTGTCTGTAGGAGGACTCTCTCAAGGTTGGAAAGCCTCCCACACACATATATTCCCAAATAAATCATTACTTTATAAAATTAAATAATTTTTCTCCTCATTTATTTGATATGTTAAAAAGAGAAATCATTTTTACGTTGAAAAATATGTATATATATGGTAATATTAATAAAGAAAATTCTATACTACTAAATAGAGAAATTGAAAATATCTTGCTGTTTTATATCTCCAATTAATTGATGTAGAATACGTACCCATATATGCGAGTTACGATATTATCAGACCGAAATATATTTTACAAATAAAGAATTTAAAGGTTTTCGAATAGAATTTTTATTTCCCGATTTCTCGATGGACTATTTGTTCATCTTTGAAAGGTTTTTGTTTTACTTAGCATCAGGTCCCACGATACAGGCGTACTAGAATAGCCTCAGAAGCTCTTTGGACAATAAAATACATCCATAAACATTTATTTTATATAAAAATTGAAATAATTCATAAAATGTAACTTAAATTTTTATATAGATACATATTTTTAAAGAGGTTCATATTTTTCCTGAACTAGTTAAATATTTAAAAGTGTTGTTAAAAATGATATTTTAATCCTTAAAGATTTTTTTAAAGTTAAAATAGGTCATATAATTAATGTATCTAAAGTTTGAATAGTTTAATGCCAGGGTGATAGTTAGTGAAGATATTTTAGTTGTGAATCTGTTAAAATAATTAATGAACTTGCGTTAAAACCACAAGTAGAGAAGATAAGAGAAAAATCTTAGAAGTTGAAGGATTAAGGCAAACCGTTTATCATCCTTTTATTTGGTTGTCATTTTACTTTTATTAGGTTAATGTGTGTGAATTTATTTTTATATATTATATTATTATGCGAGTTATTAAATAGTTTATAAATCCATTTATCTATATTTTTGACATATCTACCTATTATATTTATTTATTTAATTTAAACCCAAACATATTATTCAAATACGTTTTATTGATACAACAATACCTCGCTTTGCGTCGTTTCGTTTTGCGTTTTTTTTCGAAGTTGCGTCGCTGCTTAATTTTTACTGATTTTCACTGTGCGTCGTTAGATTTTCGAAGTTGCGTTGTTTTGAATTCGAGTCTTCAATTTTTTTTTTTTGAATTTTTTTTCCCTAAAATATGGCAACACATTTGTTTTTGATTGCGCCTCCACATATTTTCACTTTGCGTCGTTTCAATTTGCGTCGTGATTTTTGTAACGTAATCCCGACGCAAAGCGAGGTATGGGTGTACTTTTCTTGACTATAAATTTGAAAATTAATTTATTTGTTAGGTTTTATTAATTCGCTTATAAATAATATGTCATATATAACAATATTTATTTATATAAAGGCCGCATCTTATGTTAAAATGACGCCAAAACTAAACGCCATCTATTGATCATCTCCGTAACCTAGCGGACTTAGGTCGGTGACAAAGCCACAACATAAAGTTTGTCAAAATGAGAAGCGTCCAATTGAAGTCCTTATAATAGATAGCGCTAAGTAGTGCATCTATTTGGAAGGGATATACGACACATATATATATCGTAAATATTGAGGCTGCCTGGCCGCCATTCATATTTCTTGAAAATGAAGATACTTCGGCCAGTGAATCTTTTTATTACCTCGACGTTTAATTTTTGTTTGCTCCTGACGAGGACAAAAGATTTTTGTCGAAACGTCGAGGTAATAAAAAGATTCACTGGCCGAAGTATCTTTATTTTCAAGACATATATATATATTAATTAAAAGGCATATATTGGATCAGAATATTATTTATTTTACAAATATTTCAGTTGGCTGAATGCCATATATAATATTTTGATCCAATATATGCTTTTAATTGAAGATTTATTCATGTATTGCTCTATTAAAATATATATATATATATACACCAATATCTCACTTTGCGTCGTTTCGTTTTGCGTTTTTTTCGAAGTTGCTTCGCTGCTTAATTTTTACTGATTTTCACTGTGCGTCGTTAGATTTTCGAAGTTGCGTTGTTTTGGATTCGAGTCTTTAATTTTTATTTTTTTTTTTCCATAAATATGGCAACACCTTTGTTTTTGATTGCGTCTTCACATATTTTCACTTTGCGTCGTTTCAATTTGCGTCGTGTTTTTTTGGAACGTAACCCCGACGCAAAGCGAGGTATGGGTGTATATAAAGTGAGTGGCGCTTCTTCTCACAAATAAATATATATATATGCCGAAAGATACGCCACTTCCTTTATATATTTACTAGCCGAATGACCCGGGCAACGCCCGGGGTTTACCCGATTAAATGCTTTTATTCAAATACTAATCGTTACAATTATAAATTGGCGCCGTAGATGTCACTCTTGTGAAACGTCCCGCCCCAAACCATCGGCCGGGAATCGAACCCGGGGCGCCCGCGTGGCAGGCGAGCATTCTACCACTTACCCAAAAGCAAACGGTGACAGAAGTGTCTCGCGCATTGGCGGCACCAAATGATGGGGGGGGGGGGGGGGGGGGGGGCAAAGGTGGCGTGATCGTAGCCGACCAATAGGAGGGCGCCGGTAAACCGTGACAGAGGCCATGACGCGCTCGTAACTGTATAGAATTATAATAAACCAATATGTATGTCACCCCAGTGATAATAATTATATGATGAAGAATGTAACAAAGCACTGTTTTTTAGAAAATTCAGCCCCACCCCCCCAAAATCCAACATATATACAATGGTTTCGGGCATGGCCTTCATCAGCACAGGTGTCATAAAGGAGAATATTTTCTGTTGGTGCTTTAAAACTCTTATTTTTTCCGTGCAACTTTATATTATATATAATCAGATAATTTCTTCACTTTTCGTTTATTTTATTTTTTTTGTTCTCAGCGTATCACACTTAACTGACAATGCTTTGCTGGAGAGTTATTAATAAGTCATTTTTTTTTACCCTGTTTCATCATTTTTAATCATAATTTTAATAAATTCATATTCAATAGGAATGAAATTTAATTATCTAATTATCTATTTTTCTAAAGGTTATCTTTAATTTTTTTTTTTGAGTGTAGAAATGTTCAGATTGATATTTTTTATGATTTATAGAAATTTTAATCTATAAAATATTTGTTAAAACACATTCACTTTAACTCCTTTCTTAATCACTTATATTTATGTGTTAGAAGCACGTTATGTTTCACAGAGAGATGAATATAAATATATATTCATCATATAAATCAGGGATGAAGGTATTCTAGCATCAAGGGTGGGGTGACAAAGAGAAAAAAGCAGGTTTACTGGCCAATTAACTTCTTAATCTCTAGCAGATGTCTACCTCGGGGTGTTTGACTGTCTCCCCCATTCTGACACCAATCAACAAACTGTCAAAATTGACAGTTGGACTCTTTTTATAGATATGACATCTTTATAATATCATCTCGGCCTATCAGGTGACAATCTACAACGTGTGATCAATAATTTCCAGGAATGAGACTGGATCACGTGAAATATTCAAAATAATGAAATAATTTTATGAGGACCTTATAGATAAAACATTTATAAACACGCAGAAAAATAATTGATAACACAGACGCACGCGTTCACGTTTTTTCGAATTTATAAGCTCGAGTATATCAGAACATTTTCTAACTTCAGTATGGACTGTATTGAAAAACAGCGAGTCTGCATAGAGTTTTGCTTTAAATTAAGGAAAACAGCTTCCGAATCATTAAAAATGTTGAAACAGGCTTTTAAAGAAGAGGCCCAATCACAATCGAGGACATTTGAATGGTTTGCACGATTTAAAGATGGTCGAACAAGCGAGAGAAAGCAAGGATGATCAAATCGAAGATTAAGTGTTTTCTTATCACTTTCTTTGATGTAAAGGGATTGGTACACTATGAATTCGTGCCCGAGGGTAAGACTATTAATCAACATTACTATATTGGTGTATTGCGATGTTTAAGGAAGGCTGTGCGTCAGAAACGACCCGAAAATGGCATCGGAAAAATTGGCTCTTGCATCATGACAACGCACGGCCACATACGGCCGTCACTGTACAACTCTATTTGACTAAAAACGGAATTGCTTTATTACCCCAGCCACCCTATTCTCCTGACCTTGCTCCCAACGACTTTTTCCTTAACCCTTAAATTAAAAAATTCTTAAAAGGACGTTGATTTGACTCAATACCTGAAATAAAGGAGAATACGAAGAATATTTTGAAAATCCTGAAAGATGAGGATTTTTAGAGGTGTTTTGATATCTGGAAAAAATATGGAACAAGTGTATAGATAGTGACGGTGATTATTTTGAAAAATTTTAAATAAAACTTTATTATACTTTTTTATTTCTTTAAATATTTAACATTCCTGGAAATTATTGATCACACTCTGTATATACTAGATTGATACCATCCTCGTAGTGTCCCCATTAAAGGTGGTCGCGGATTTTAATAATATGACAAACCCCCGTTTCTACATTTGTCACCTTTCAAATTTTGCCATTATTTATTTTATATTAGCATATAGTATGAGTTTCAATATATAGGGTTTCACACAGTTTTATGATAGAGATTTAAATAAAATTCTAAATGCAAGTGCGTAGTGTGTGTGTGTGTGAGGTATTTTGTTGATTGGTATTAGAATAACAATATTTCATAAAAATAATTCTCTAAAGGTTTATAGAAACAAGATATTTTTTTTTATAAAAAGGTTACATAATGTTTATAAATCAAATGTGCTAATTTTAAAAATTAAACATCGAATATTTTATATACAGATAACATACAGAATTTCATAAAACATTATCCTTCTGTATTACTTGTTCTTAATAAATACACTCATTGGCAAAACTTAAGGAATCTATGAGTGTCCATGAGTATAATTTTCTACCCACTATAACTGATATAGTTTTCTTCCAAATCTCTAATGTTTCCATGCGTTGAATAATGTAAAACATATGTAAATAAACTTTTCTCCTTGTTTGGCGCAAGTATCCCTTGCGGGATATAGCGCTTTGGAAATAAAATAATTGAAATAATTGAAATTGAAATCCAAAAGTTTATTCCTTATTAGAGGTGTTTGAATGAAATTTCTTTTCACCAAGAAGAACTTCTTAAAACTCTATAAGCAAAATGAACAGTGCAAAAGGTATGGCCTTCTAGTAGATTCAATTGGCCAAATCGCTGTAAATATAAACTACCTCTTCAAAGCCTGTTTTTTGTGAAATAATTTTCATATTCAATATAAAAATTGGAGAATATTTGTCCTTTATGTTTAAAATAATTGTGATGAAGGATAGTATAAATAACAATCGAATGATTCCAACCCAATGATTCCAATCCTCTCTCTCTTTATATATTATCCTAATTCAAATTTTAGAATCGATATATCATCATATTTCTTATATTTTCAAAATATATAATTTTTCTATATAGTTAGGGAAGAAAATTAATTTATGAATTAAAATTAAAAAATATTTTTAAAACACCTAATTTCTTGGTCAAATATTAATAAATTTGGCAAAATATAATATTCATAGAATATATTTTTATTGATTTAGCTATTGATATTACAAAGCTTCAATTACAATGAAGAAAGGGTTATAAAAGGGGGGTTTGAAATATTACACTTTGAACAAAGTAATATTGTAATTCGTGTAAATAGAATAAATGTACTTTCTAACTAATTAGAGAAATCTGAGAACAGAGTAGACTAGTGAGAGAAATTAAGGAGACGTTTATTAACCAAAAGACACATTAGTGTTGCAGACGATACCATTAGGTAGGAGGATAAATCCCTGGATGGTCCCTGGGGATTCCATATTGATCAGATCCTTCGAATATTATCCACTGCCACCAAGTGAAGTTTCCGCTTTAACTGGGGCCTTTAATATCTGTCCGCAGTCTGAAGATAATTATTTTTTTGTGTTTTTTTTTCACAGACTGTCTGACTCTGTGGGATTTAGCTCTGATATTGTCTCTTGAAAGTTTCTTTCACTCCCCCATTATTATTTCCTATCATTTTCTTTTCACTTTTTTTATGTCTTATTTTATCCATTTCCTTTTTTTTTTAATTTGATGTCAACCTCTCTTTTGTTTGAAATTAAATAATTTGTTTTTCTTTGGATTCGCTTTTTCATTTGAATAGATATTTTGATTAAAATAATTTATGAAAATTTTATTATTATTATTTTGATATTTTTTTGACGTTAGAATTAATGATTTTGTAATCATTTATTAAATTATTCTGACATTTTTTAGAGATAAAATTCATCAAATTTAAAGCTAGAGATAACACTTCTCTATTGTAAAAGTAAAATGCGATAATTCTTTTTTGGTTTAGATAATTCTGTTAATATATTGGAAATTATAATTAGAGTAAATTATACTTATGTGTGAAATAATCTAACATCCAGATGATTCTGTTTCTTGCTTTGCAAAATTTATCTAGCTAATTTCTCAATCGAACACAAAATTCAACAAATGAATGTATTTCAGAATGATACACCATTTTAATCTCCTGGTCAAATTCGATACAATACACTCTTGGACAAAACTTTAGTAATTTGTACAATTCAGCATGTATATTTGATACACAGTGACCTTTATTGGAAACACGAGATAACCAAGCGTGAAAAATATTGCCACTGTCTTCTTAAAAAAAAACAGACTTTCCACTTTCTTAAGTTTTGTCGATTAGTGTACCTATTTTGATGGGATTCTATATTTATCAGCATTTATAAACATATAGCTATTTATTCAGTTATTTTCTAATAGATATATATTTCACTTTTTTAATAGTTGCACACAATTTCAAATAAACCATTTTATATAACACTATTCATATTCATTTCTTATTTGTGATCTTATATTATTCTCTTTTTGAAAATAGATCAATCCATAGTTAAATCATTATATGAGAAAAAGGCATATATTGGATTGAATAAAAGAATTATTTGCCAGTATATTCCTTTTTCTTATCTAATATTCTCTAGAATATATATTTATATATGATATATTTTGTATATAGTAAACCATGATTCAATTCCATATTGAACACAAATTGCCAAATACATTTTTTAACATGGAATTTACATATTTGAAAAGTTGAATGATATGTAAATTAGTTACTAAGAATTTTTTTTTTCTTCAACTCTCGCCTTAAGTCACAGTGTGTGTGGCCTCGCGCTGATTGCTTATAATAAAGAAGAATAAAAAAGGCCTAACGACTGCTTAATTGTCATTTCCAGATATTGAAACTTTGGAAAAATTTACTTTACGACATATATATATAATATATATTTATATAGAAACTTATTTAGGTGATGTTTTGGTATCATTAAAGAAGATAACTCAATTAGAATAGATGTAATTATGAACTATTTGGAATATCCTATAAAGAAATATGTAATAAGCATTAATAATCGAATTTTTTAGTTTTGTGACAGACTAAACGATGAGAGAAGTATAAAT